AGCGAGTCATTCGGGGCATTCTCTTCTTTTTGAATGGCCTCAGAACTAGACCTTTTGGGCACACCCGCCAGTTGCTCATCACGGCAGGAGGCATCATCAACACTCGATGCTTCAATCTGCGGCTGAACCTCCTCGACCGTCATCGGCTCTGCAGTTCTCGAAGCTTCGATTCTTTCCCTCTTTCGAGCCACCAGCAGGCAGTCGGCATCTTTTTCCTTGTCGTCTTCATCTCCTAGCATTTGGGCTACATCGACAGACAGAACGGAGGGTGTCAGTCTTCGACTTTCGAGCCCTGCTTTTCTTGGGCTTTGGGGTATTTGGAGTCGAGGCACTTCTCCTTTTCTTGTCTTTGGTCGGCTTTGAGGCCTCCCCTTCCCTGAGGGGAGGTGGCCTCATAACGACATTATCTCCAAGACCTGTATGAGAAGAAATCAATTTAAAAAGAAGTATTTCACAGGAAAGCACCAAACACGGACAGGGGAACTTACCATGGTTTTTGGCCTCCCATCGACCCTTGGCCAAATCAAGCCACGAGCGCTCAGCATACGAAGAGGTTGAAACCAGTTGTCGAACCCAACCTGCAAGGTCCGAGACTGCACCAGAAAACCAGGGGGAAGCTGCACCATAAAGAAGAATATAGATGAGAAGAGGTAAAGGAAACATAACAAGTAATCAAATGTTATCGGTGAAGTTCTACTTATGCTTCATGTTCCATTTTTCGGAGAATGGCATCTTCTCGGCGGGGATTAAATTGGAGGTCCTGACTCGGACAAATCGGCACATCTATCCTCGGTCCTTGTCCTCGTCCATGATCGAGAATAACACCTTCGTGTCCCGGCATTGAAGCCTTATCAGTCCTCCCCGATAAAGACGGGGGATATATAGCCTAATGAGATGATTGAGGGTGAAAGAGATCCCCTCGATCTTGCTCGAGAAGAATCTGAGCAAAATGACAATACGCCAAAAATAAGGGTAGATCTGATCTAAGGTTACCCGATATTGGCGGCAGAAGTCGATTACGACGGGATCGACGGAACCCAGTGTGAAAGGGTAAGTATACACACTTAAGAACCCTTTCACATGAGTGGTGATGTCTTTTTCGGGGGTAGGAATCACCACCTCTTTATTCTCCCAGCGACAATCCTTTTTCACCAGCTCGAGATCGCCTTCGGATATCAAAAAGATGTATCTAGACATGGGTTCGCATCGGCCAGGAACCGAAGAGGGTTTTTTGACTTTAAAGTCAGAAGTAAGTTCACATGGCTCGGGGATGCACTCTTCTATACATGGCTCCACCGGTGCTTTGCCGCCGGCCGACCGCTATGAGGAAATTTCTTCTTCTTGAGGAACAGTCTTTGATATTTTTGCCATTGCTATATGAGGTTTAAGGAAGAAGAAGGCGAAATTTGTGTTTTAATAAGAGATTGGTAAACGAAAACCAGCAAAATTGATGAACTTGAAGAAGATAGAAGAGATTTTGACGATTAGAGGAAGTTTGAAAGTAAAGTTTGAGAAGATTATGAAGGTGGTCTATTTATAATAGCCACTTTGACGGTTTGAAAGCACTAGTGGTCGACCATCGACTGGCTTTAATTAATGACTTTGAGAACTGTGCATACGCGACACTTCAATCACTTCTGTCGCTTACGTCACAATGTTGACGTCATAATTGATTGCGGTATTAAATCGAAGTCTCGAATTCGTTTCTTTTCGTTACACTCTAAAAAATGAGGGGACTATCTGTATAGGGTCAAAATAGGGCATACCCGATTTCAGCGGCAGGGGAGTTGCCTCGAGGATAACCTCGTAATAGATTGGGCTCGAGCTCGAAGATAGAACGTCAAGCCCGGAGACCGAAGTGTTCATTGAGATCGAGGCCAGCAACGATCGAGATCAAGCATGACTGACTTCGAGTAAGGCGTAATAACAGAATGGCGAGATGTCAGCAATCGGTCGAGGATCACGACGGAAATCCCGGAACAGATCAAATCAAGGCAGTTATTAGTGCCAATCATAGGGTCTGTTTCCATTATTAGAATTATACCATAATTAGGTTTCCTCTACTATATAAAGAGGAGTTCCAATCATTTGTAAGGCATGATGATTCACTGATAAAAAATATACATATACGCTGCTTTCTTTATCTTACTTATTGTTCATCACTGGTTGTTCCATCCTCTGCCGTTCTTATTAACTAACCTCAAGGCTATCTTGAATCAAGGTCGAGGCATTGTTAGTAGACCGGTTCAATTTATTTTACTGTCCAATTTATCTATTTAATTTGTTGTTTATCAATTGGTGCTGGTTTAAATCACATATTCTTAAAATCACAATATAAGTTTAATTGTTAATCAATTTTAAGGATAAACAATATGGTTTGGTATATACGCGTATTCTTGAATCTTGCTCTGTCAGTTTGTCTAGGTATGTCTCTCCCTATGGTTTCAATTCTGTTGTGTAATTGATGATGTTTAACTTGCCCTTCATGCATATTTTCCCTTAGGGAAGTGACATCTTCCCATCCAAGATTTTCATACGCTATGTATATGTTGTCTAGATGATACGTTTGTGATAGCTTTGTTATGAAACGGAGACGTCCGTCGGTAACGAGGCTTTTCCGAAGAAAATGATTCGTCGATAAATGGTACGTAGATAAATTTTTTCTTAGTAAAATCGACCGACAGAATTCCTCGATAATTACTGATGGACCCCATCACAAAGCCATCGATATATTTCTGACATTATTTGGTCAAATAATTTTACTTACCGACAGATATTCGTCGGTATATTATAAAATAATATAATATTAATAATATCAATACCGACGGATATCCGTCGGTAAATAAAAAATAATAATTTAATATTACCAGCGGATACCATCGGTATATTTAGAATATTAATTTAGTAATTTAAAATTTAAAAATATAAATAAATTCATATTCCGATGGATATCCGTCGCTATGTTCAACAAAATTAGAAAATTTATTTTAAGTTACCAACGGACTCCCTCGGTAAGTATGAATTCTGGATTGACAAATAAATAATATTTTCGACGGACTCTATCGGTACGGCCCTCAGTAAATCTGGTATATTTTTGGCAGGCAGTGCTTATTTTTTGCTGCACCACCTGCCAGCCAGAATATTAATACAATAGAAACAGCAATGCACCACCTGACAGCCAGAATATTATAATAGAAACAACAATGCAACCAAACATAAAATCACTCCCTATCTTCAGATTCCCCCTCATCTTCTTCATTATTTATATTGTTTCCATCACTTTCACTCTCTTCATAAATGTGACTTTTTGGCGGAGAGTGGGGCAGACCGATTAAGTGGTTCACTTGAGCCTTGAGGGACTCAATGTCATTCCTAAGTGCAGTCCTAATCTTCTCTTCATGCTTTCTTTTTTCTCGTTCAAACGCATAGTTCCTAGAAAGTTGTTGAACTATTCGCCGCATCTCCTCAAGGTCCTCATTTTGCACGGTGGCGGATGTCCCAATACCTTAACAACAACAACCCAGTATAATTTCACTTGTGGGGTTTGGGGAGGGCAGTGTGTACGCAAACCTTACCCCTACCCTGGAGTAGAGAGGCTGTTTCCGATAGATCCTCGGCTCCCTCCCTCCAAGAACTCCCCACGTTGCTCTTGGGGTGACTTGAACTCACAACCTCTTGGTTGGAAGTGGAGGATGCTCACCACTAAAGCAACCCACTCTTGTCAATATCTTATAATCCACAAAAGAGAAGTGAAAAAAATTTATCAAGAACAATTAGAAAGTTGCTGTAACTCTACGAATGCAGATCATACATTGACGACAAGATCTAGGGAGTTTTTCATAACTCATAATTAACATATTTTAAATTCAGGGATGATTAAAAAGTTAGCACTTAAGAAAATAAATTTTAGATTCATTGACAACATTCATTAATAGTGATCGGTACTCAAGGGATAATACAAGTAAATAGTAAAGCCATGGTCATTTTATACTATCATAAGCAAATTCTAAACGAATTCATATTGTAAGAAGCGACGCTGTAACTAAGAAATGTTTTTCCAATTTAAAAGGTATAACCCCAAACCACCAATAAAGGTAGACTGAAACGACCCCAAAACAACCCAGAAATTCGGCCAATTACAATCCAAAGTCAACATTATTAAAGCCAACCAACAGTGAGTGATCCTTTATCTATTTATACGTTTTTAAATTTAAAAATAATTCAATTTTAAACTATTCATTTTACTTATTTTATCATTAATGAAAAATTTTTATAATCACACAAATATTATGGCCCCAAAAAAATTTAAAAGCTTAAGAATTCAATTTTAAACTCTTTATTTTACCTATTTTACCATTAATGAGAAGTTTTTATAACCACACAAATATCATAACCTCAAAAAACTTAAGCTTTTAACATTACAAGTTTCAAAAGTCTTCTTATGCCGAGTCAAACTAACTTATCTAAATAATATTTTGATGATGATACGTGGAGACTTCTCCATTTTTATTGCATTAATTGATGCCTGTAATATAAGGCTGTGGACAATTTGAATTACATGCAAGCTCGATAATCAGCAAACTGGTGAGTTGAGTGGAGATATCCAACAGGTAAATATATTTCTGTGTAGTACTCGCTTAATTCAGTTTAAGTGCTCTTGAAAATTAAAAATCTGCAATTCTTGTTTCAATTCCAAAATTAATTAAATTATTGAATATATAGCAAGGGGGGCTAGTTGATTGCTGCTTTTGATCTGCGTTATGGATATGAAGTTGGACTCTGTTTGTAGAATACATTTCAGCCCACCTTATATCGATTCAACCACCTGCCAATCCCAAACTGATCAAACGATACTATACCTCCAGAATTAATTATCTAAATAAATTTTTATACAGCATGAGCTCCATTGCTGCCATATTTTCTATGAAGTCTAAATATTAGTGAAGTAACAAGTTAACCGTCGAAAAACAAATACAAAGCAGCATTAACATGACTACAACTAAAACAACAAACCAGCCTATAACCGAGAAAGGAAATAATCAAACATTAAATACATCCGAATACCAAGTTATAGCAACAACTCACAAGCATGCAAATCAAAAAAAAAAATTTACAAAAAAGAGCCCCATTTTGCATGCAGTGCATTTCCATGAAGGCATAGAACCGCCAAAAAAGAGTTGAAGCAAATTAACTAAACACAAACTAAATGTCCATAAACCCACACTACAAAACATTAAATTTCAGTTCACTAGGCCTTGGATTTGGACTTGGACTTGGACTTATCTCCTCCACCAACACTAGACACATAAGTAGTCACAGCTTTTGTCCCTTCAGCAATGGCATGCTTCCCTAGTTCTCCCGGCAACACCAACTTAACCGCATCCTGAATATCCACCGACGCCAACGTCGCCCGCCCGACATACTTCGACAGCGTCGCCGCCTCACCGGCGATTCTCTCGAACATATCCCCCATCAGATTGTTTAATATAGTCATAGCTTTTGATGAAATTCCCATATCCGGGTGAACTTGCTTCATCACCCTAAATACATACCTTCTGTACCCTTCACTGGGTCCTACTCCCCCACCCACTTTCGCCCTCTTCCTTTTCCTTTTCCTCTTTCCCTCTTCCTCTGTTCCGCCTTTAGCTTGTGTTGTCTTCTTTGCAGCTTCGGGTTTTCTTTTTTGGGCTTTTTTTTCCTCTTGCATTTTTGGAGGTGTTGGCATCTCTTCTGGCTCTGAAGCCGGTTGTGTTTCGTCTTCATCTTGCTGCTGCACTCTCTGTTCCTCTAATTCCTGAGGCTGTCTTTCTTGCTCCTTTTTCTTACGTTGTGGCGTAGACTTGTCTTCAACAGAAATGGTTCTTTTAGGTATTGGTTCTTCTGAAGGTGGTGGAGTTAAAATATCAAATGATTCTTTGGTAGAAGAAGAAAAAATTTCAACAGTGGGCTGACTCTGGCTTTGAGTTAGAGTTTGAGTCTCCGTCTCAGTTTCGCCGACAGGTGACGTTACAACGACGGAGACGGTTTCTTCCACCACTTTCCTGGCGGTGACCACCGTCGTGCGCGGCCTTCCTCCACGTTTCTTTGGAGCCATGTTCGCTTTCTATTTCACCTCTGTATTCCCTCTCTTTTTTGGGCTGTGTTTGAATTGAAAACGTACGGTGAAACGATAAGGTCGATCGTGCGGTTTATGAAGAAAGCCTTTTCACTGTGGAGAGGTTACTAGGAGGAAGACACGTGGAAGACAGGTGTCAAGTTAAAAGATACGTGGGGTAAAATTGAAGAGTAAAGAGGATTATAGAGGAAGATTCAGCGTTCTACATCCTTTTTTCATTATTATTCTTTGGCCAAATGTCTTAAAACTTTAGTTCAGTTTTCATTTTGATACTTTAATTAAGCCTATTATCTATTGAACACTTTAACCTAAATTAATATATGTCTATTGAACATAAAAAACTTAGTCCCAAAAAATAAAATAAATGTGTAAAACTCAAACGCGCTTATATGAAAATATAATCAATGAAAAGATGCTAGATCATTAAAACAAGCCACATCACTAAAAAAAAAACCATGTTATTATTTTTTTGGTTGTAAAAAAACCGCTGAACCTTACTCGTCGTTGTTCATCTTCTCCACTCCCATCGTTGGTCATCCTCTTTCCCCCTCCTCGTTCTTCTTCTCCTTTCGTTCATAGGCCCTTCACTCGTCGGGATCAAATCTAAAACTGATAGTCGGTCAAATCATTTTTGTTTTTGAATTTCTTTGCTGTAACAACAAAAACTTTCAGATCTCAAAGAAAATGGCGAAACTGAAGAAGATGGTGAGCGAAATCTGAAAAAGTTAAAAAATAATGGATATAATTTGGAGAAAACCAGCCATTGACGTATTTATTTTGCCCAAATTTGTTATTGGAGAAAAAAATATTCGTCTGTCCTTCTTTTGTCACAGTTCAGAAGCTGCAAAATAGAGCAATAATGGAGATGCATACTTAGAGAGGTGACAATGGTGGAGATAAGGTGGTTATGACCTATGGTTGGCCTTTAGATAAAAAGTCAATTTTAGTTTAAACAAAAAAGAAAAGAAAAACATGATTTCAAAACCATCAAAATTCACGCGCCTAAGAGGGGTTGAAATACAGCTCTTTTGCCATGTCAGCTTTTGTGTTCAATAGGCATACTTTGATTTGGGTTAAAATGTTCAATAGGTAATGGGCTTAGTTAAAGTGTCAAAATGGAAACTGAAACTAAATTTAAATGGCCGTATAGGTATTTGGCCTTCTTCTTTCAATTTTGAAACCGTCAACAGTCACAATCGAATATTGGCCTGTGGATACCTGTTCGAATATTTTGAGCAGCTTATTGAGATTTAAATGGGGCTACGTTTGTAAGCACGTAATTTTTGACCCGCACATTAGAATTACCTTTAATAGTCCTAGTATTTTTTAGAATATTTATTTGAGTTTATTTCTATAGGATTTTACTTTATTATTAATTTTTATTCTATTTTTTAAAGCACAAAAATTGAAAAAATACAAAAATAGTTTCATTTTCTCTATTTAATTTAGGTATTAGGTATTTTTAGAAAAATATTTTATTTTTAACCCATATTTATTTTTAGTATAATCCTTGAAAATACCAAAAAATAATTTCGTGTGAAAATATAGTTGTTTTAATTAATTAGGATTGATTTTATATTTTTATGGTGTTACTTTAGAAAAGAAATTAATATGTTTTTTAGCAAAATTATAAGAATTGTAGAATTAAAAGGCCAATTTTATAACCTAATACACTTCAACTTGGCAAGCGGATATCTGAGCCCAATAGCTCAAGTCCATACCCATTCCCCATTTGAGCTAACCTAATTCCTACTCCCCACAAAAAGGACTCTAGCGACAAACTTTTAAAGGGGGGAAGCAAAGAGAAAGAGAAAACATCAGCCATAGCTCTCACTCTCTTTGAGAAAAATCTCCAATTTCCTTCACTATTCTGCAAGTCAAGCCGGTCACTCTTAGAACAATCAAGGATTCACCCAAAAACATCCCAAAAAAAGAACGACCCCCAATTTCAAGAACGGACTGACCCACCTCTAACAACAAGCAGCTGATTCACCCCCATCTCCCATCACCTCACCGTTGCCGGCGTCCAGCCGGAAAACCCAAGAGCTAGCGACTCCACCCTTCTCCATATCCCAACAGCCCAAACGCACTCATGTAGATACACAAGAGAGAACACGACTGTTGCTTTCTTGGAAAAAAACACGCACACTCCACTCCAATCTCTGCTATTTTTTTATGCTTCGTTGTTTTGAAAAGAAAGCTGTTTCTTCCGATTCAAGCTTAATTTGAGAGATGAGTTTGGATGTGAGTTCCCTATTTGAACTCGAGATGAGTCGTCCGTGAGTTTCGTGGTTCGGCTAGCGATTCTTGTTGCCGAGCTCGGGTCGCGATTCATTTCTCCGACGTATTTCGGGACCCGATTTGGTGCTAGTGTCCATTTGCTTACTGAACGTCCTAACATGGAGTTTTTTTTTAATAAATTGAAGAGATTTCTACTTTAAGGTCTACTCTTTTCCCACTGTTAATATTGTTTCATGAATTATTGATTTGTGTTTTCCTTGTTCATTTATTTAATCTTGCTGCAGTTGTTTTTCTATAAATAAAAATTCATTGAACTTTACATTATGAATTATTAATGTCCCATGTAGGTTAGGCTTCATATTTTACATAAAAGAATAAGAGAAAAGTAAAGGTTTTTTTGCACTTTCGTCAAAATATATCTCTGTTTGGGATCATCAATACCATTAAGTAACGTTTTAATTTTCCTTTGACCAGGATTAGAATTTTGATGTAGTCTAGTTATTTGGATTTAGAAAGTTACTTTTAATTAGATCTATAAAGGGCTCGTTTTAAATGCATGAAATAAGAAGTTAAAAATGAAATGAGCGATTTTGAACATCGTAGCTTGCTTTAGGCGCGATTCATAAATAAATCATCGTGACTATGGGTACGGTTCCCGTGGCATAGTCATGATACGTAATTCCAATTCGGGAGTGCATTTCATGTGACCCGACTATAACTTCGAATAATAATAAAATAAACACGTCGTAAATCGCGGGTGCATTTCATGTGGCGCGATTTGCAACGTGTACCAAAAACAAGCGAGTGTGCGATATCACGACTTGTTCAAACAAATTCCATAAATATTAAAAGCGGTTAAAAAGTTAAAAATATACCATGGGTCTAAAATATGTAATCAGATAATTAAGCCAGGTATTAATTGTTAAGCGACCGTGCTAAAACTACAAAATTCGGGAGTGCCTCACACCTTCTCCCGGGTTAACAGAATTTCTTACCCGGTCTTCTGTGTTCGTAGACCATAAATAGAGTCAAATTTTCTCGATTTGGGACACCATTAATTATTCCAAGTGGCGATTCTAATTAAATAAATAATTTCATTTCGAACAATGTCACTTTAATTGAAAAAATTCCCTTATCCCCTATCCCTTCGGAAAAAATAAGGTGTGACAGCTCTGGCGACTCTGCTGGGGAAACGAACCCAGAATCTCTGTTCAGGGTTCGGAATTCGAGCTTAGAATAACTGTTATACTTGGTTTTTGTCTATTATCTGATTTTTACGTGTTTGAACCTAATGTGCTAAATGTCACTTTTTATCGCTTTGATATTATGTGAAGTGTATATAAACTGCTACGAAACCCTCCTTTTCTCTGAGTCTTCTAAATCTTCTAGGGAGCGTGCACTTCGCGTGACTTCTTTTCTGTTAGAGTCATATCCTAATTTTAGAATGAGGTTCGGACAAGTTGCAAAGCCGGTGAAGCTTCTGTATTCCCGGTACGCTGCCCCCTCCCCCCTTCCCCCCGGCTCGAGTTGTCCGCTCGGGTAAGCCAGGTCTAGAACAATACACCCATGATTTAAACTTAGATTAACACATCCTCATGTCGGATCCCTAGTAGGTACGTTTGCTTGCATCACGTGCATTTGATTTAGGGGACTCAGCACAGGGGTTGAGTCCGTCTAGGATAAGTGTACCCAAAATTAAAGGACCATCCTGATGCATTCTTTACACGCTACTTTTGCATTAATTTACTTGACTTGTATGTTGACCGGCTTCTTGAGTTAGAAAAAAAATATATATAGAAGAGAAAAAACCAAAGAGTGAGGTAGGATAGAAAAACGCCTGATTTTGACAATCCCGGTATTCAAAAAAAAAACTCCGTTAATCTGTCAAAATTTCTAGAATAAAGAGAGAAAAGCATTTCAAAACAAATCATATTTGTCTGTGCATCAAAATTGGCAGAACTACGTGGGTCTGATTCTCATCTGTTCCGGCCCACAATTTTTAAAAAATCCAAAAATATTTTCCATTACCTCCTCTTTAGAAAGTCTTTCTTTTAGACAACAATTTTCAAAAAATCCAACAATATTTTCCTTTACTTCCTTCTTTGGAAAGTCTTTCTTTTAGACCCAAACTTTAAAATATATATATATATTTATATATACAAAAATATTTTCCTTTTAATTTCTTCTCAAAATCCAAAAATATTTTCATTCTTCTTTCGAAAATTGAAAAGAAAATTCAAGATTCAAAAATATTTTCATTTTTTTTTCTTTAGAAGTATTTCTTTCATAAATTCAAAATAAAATTCTAAAAATCCAAAAACATTTCCTTTCTTGTTTAGAAGTTTTTCTTTCGAAATTCCGAAAAAAAAACTCAAAAAAAATATTTTCTTTCTTCTTTAGAAGTCTTTCTTTTCAAAAATTCAAAAAAAAAAATAAATCGAAATCCAAAAATATTTTCTTTCTTATTTATAAGTCTTTCTTTCGGAAATTAGAAAAAAAAGTTAGTTTATTTCTTTTATTCCTGATCTTTCCGAACTACGCACGATCTGATTCATGTTCCCACATGATACGTAGGCAACCCACATCAGGTTCGATCGACAAAAAAAAATGATGATGATAATAAGTACTGACTGAGTCCATTCTAACGTGTCTTTTGTTTTGAATCATAGAAGAAAGTTTGAGGTGGTCGGTTTATGGTAAGCTATCAACGCAAGATCCAAAGAAAAAATGTCATTGACAATTGACATTGAAGCTGTTACGAGTGGTCAAGAGATTCAGGGTCAGAGGGTTCAACAAGAGTCTACTATAGTTGAGAAAAATAGAA